AGTAATCAGTTTTAGTCCGAAGATTTTGCGCTGGTAAATTCTGGTAAATGTGTCGAAACGATCAGCGGTAGTGTCTTTGACAAGCAGATTGTAAACAAAAGAAGATGCATTGCCTTGACAGATGTTGCTGATTTTTTGACATGTAGCGACGCAGCGTTGCCACATCACTCCCCCTCGTACCTTGAAGGGAGCCTAACCTTGCGACCGGAGCGTGTTGTTAATGGTGGTTTTGTTGACGACCGGTCTGGTTGAGTTGCGTTTTCTTCAACCGTGTATGCTGCTTTCAGTCTATCGATGCTGATGTTGGTTGCTTTCCCGTTTATTTGAAGTTTGTACCATTTGTCGTTGCGCTGCAGGACTTGGTATGGCCCTTCGTATGGCGGCTGCAATGGCCGGCGAACGGCGTCTGTTCTCACGAATACGGCGGGGGCTGTTGATAACCTTTTTTCGATGAAACACGCCGGCCTGGCGTGGTTTGAGGTGATTGTGGGTTTTAACCCCTGCATTCGGGTTCGCAGGCTGCTCACGAATTCATTTTCGTTTGCGATGCCGTTGTGAGAAGGATCGACGAATTCTCCCGGGAGTCTGATACCGCAGCCATACGTCATTTCTGCTGGAGTCGATCCGATATCTTCTTTGTAACAAGATCGGTATCCCATTAGAATAAGTGGTAATACGTCGACCCACTGCTCGGTTTGGAAACATTTCACCGCGGTTTTCAGTGTTCGGTGGAAACGTTCGACGAGTCCATTTGAAGCTGGGTGATAGGCTGTAGTTTTGAGGGGCTGGATGCCGAGAAGTTTGTTCAGGTCCCGGAAAAGCGACGACTCGAATTGGCGTCCCTGGTCGGTCGTTACTTTCATTGGGACCCCGAATCTCGCTATCCAGTTAGAATAAAATGTGAAAGCGACCTCTTCGGCTGTGATTGTTGCGATAGGATATGCTTCGACCAACCTCGTAAATCTATCTATGCAGGTGAGGCAGTAACGAAATCCTCGATTTGGCGGTAAGGGACCAATGATGTCAATGTTGACGTGGTCAAACCTCCGTTCTGTCAAAGCGTAAGCTGCGATCGGCGATTTGTTGTGCCGTTGAGTTTTCGCCTTTTGGCAGCGTAAACAGCTTCTGGTCCAATCGAGGCAGTTCCGGTTCATGTTGGGCCACACGAACTTCTCTGAAACAAGTTTAGATGTCTTGGCAGCTCCAACGTGGCATATGTTGTGGATCGATTCAAAGGCCGTTCTACGAAACGGTTCTGTTATAAAAGGGCGTGCTTTACCTGTGCTGATATCGCAGAACAGTTCTGCTGAAGCGCCGGGGATTTTCAATTTGACTAATTGCAGACCTGAGTCTCCGTTGCAAAACGTTTGGAGTTCGTTGTTGTTTAGCTGGTGTTTGGCCAGTTCGTCATAATCGATGGTTTGGTTGACGTGAATGGCTTCAACTCTAGAGAGTGCGTCGGCAGTAACATTTTCCTTTCCGGGTACGTAGCGTATATCTGTTGTGAATTGACTCACGAAATCGAGATGTCTGATTTGCCTGGGCGACGCTTTTTCTAAGTTTTGTTGGAAAGCAAACTGAAGTGGCTTGTGGTCAGTTAGAATGAAAAATTGTTGTCCTTCCAGCATGTGACGGAAATACTTTACGCTTTTATATGCGACAAGCAGTTCACGATCGTATGTACTGTAGCGTTGTTGAGCCGGGCTGAGCTTCTCTGAATAAAAGCTAAGAGGCTGCCATAAATCGCCGTCGCGTTGTTGTAACACGGCGCCGATTGCAGTACCAGATGCGTCGACTGCCAACGCAAGTTGAGCGTTGGGGTTTGCAAAGGCGAGAAGCGTAGCTGCGCACAGTTCGTCTTTACAACGTTGAAATGCGTCCTTTGCTGTTTGACTCCAGTCTATTATTGAAGTGTCATTTTTTTTATTGCTTTTGATGAGCGCGGTTAGAACGCTTTGGTATGCGGCTGCTTTGGGTAGAAATCTTCGAAAAAAATTGATCATCCCCAAAAAGCGCCGCAAGTCGCAAGATCGTTTCGGCAGGTCAAACTCCTGAATAGCTCGCACTCGTTCTTCTGGTGGTTTCACTCCATCCTTCGATACCCTGTAGCCCAAAAAGGTCACTTCTGCTTTTCCGAGATCACATTTCGACGGGTTGATGACAATGCCGTGTTTGCGTAGCTTTTTGAATACGGCCCGCAAATGTTCTTCGTGTTCTTTTTCCGTTTTTGAAGCTACCAAGATGTCGTCCAGGTAAGGCCAAGCGAAGCTGAACTCGAGCAAGATCTGGTCCATAAACCTTTGAAAAGTTTGGAAACTGTGTCTCTAATTAGTAAGCGGCGGCTTGGTGAATTGAGCCTGTCGCATGCCGCTACGAGCGACGGGCGTTTTAGTTTAAAGCCTTTGCGCAGGGCGGGCGACATTTTGTGGCCGCGTCGCCGAATTTGAGGTGGTACCAACAGGTCTCTGATGGTGTTTGCGATCTATTTCGTACTGGGCTTTTGCTGCGATGACGAACTTGCGTAGAAACCTTTGACCTTAGCGCTGCCACTTCTTGCGTTAGCTTTTCGATTTGCTGCGCCAGTGTTGAGTTACGCGCCGTATCTTCGCGAGTCGAGATGGCGTGTAGCTGTGGTCCTTCTCTAACCTCTAAGATTTTATCGGCTAGGAGCGCCACTTTCTCCAAAGGTTCTGTGCTGATTGAAATTATGGTCCGAACGTCAGTTGGGAGGCGACTGATCCAGATTGATCGTAGCATAGCGTCGTTCATCGCGTTACCTGCCAGAATTTGCATCTCCCTGAGGAGTTGTGACGGACGCATGTCGCCGAGCTCCAGCTCTTGTAGCAATTTTTTTATTCGTCGTTGTTCGGACTCTCCGAATCGCTCTAAAATTCGTGTTTTCAACGTCTGATACATGTCGGTAGTTGGGGGGTTTAAGATGATATCGCTGATTTGCGCCAGCACGTTGCTCTCGATGGCGGCAATCACGGTGTGGTATTTCGTTGCATCGTGTCTGATGCGTGCGGCTATGAAGCGAGACTCGACTTGAGCTAACCACAAGTTTGGATTTGCGTGCCAGGTAGCTTTACGGAGATGTTGGCAATTTCCTCGTTTGCACCTAATTCGCGGCTGAGTGCGGTTGGAGGTGTGACTGCCATTTGCCGATGTTCTTCTGCCTTGCTATCCTCGTTGTGCGACTCCATCTGCTGCAGTTTTTGGTTCTTTGTCGCGGTCACTAATTATATAGCTGCTGGGCTCACACTTTTATTAATATTTACTAGAGAAAACGAATATTATGATCGCAGATACTTAAAAACTAAAACTCCTTTTTTATCTTCACGTGACGACGTTTTTTCAGAAAACTTTTCTTGACAAAAAGGAAGCAGGAACGGAAATCGAATGTCACATTGCCTTGACAGATGTAGCTGATTTTTTGACATGTAGCGACGCAGCGTTGCCACACTTGTTTGAGTGGATTCTAATGAATTTGAAAGCTTTTTTTTTGGTTATTTACATGTGTCAGCTGAGTGTGTTTACATACAAAATAAGAAAAAATGTATAACCACAATTTGGAGGTTATGTTGAAGTGTTCAGAATTTACCATTTTTTAATAGAAAGCGTACCCTTACTTTTCAGTGGTACTCGCTCGCTCTGAGCGAATTTTAAGTTTTTGACAGCTTCCTCAGTTTTAGTCCGAGGAACACGAGTTTGGACCTGGTATTAAAACTCTTCCTATTTTTGTTAAGTACCAAATGATTTTCAGAGCAAAGAGGATAACTGTGAACTCTATGCGGTGTCGCAAAGTGATCTGAGTGTAGGTGAGTACCACCAGGTACAGTCGCCTAACCGACGCGCCTAGAGCACCTCTCGTTAGCAACAGTGCCTTCACCATACTCATAGGAATAGCTTTCGATTCGATTATTTACAATAAGGTTGGGGCCACGTAAGGAGCGGCACCGCTCAACCGCTCTGAAATGCCGCTCAGTGTGCGGTGGTATATTAACTACCGTTGACAAGGTAGACTCTTTATATTTTACATATGTTCTTTTTAGCGCAGGGCTGGCAAAACCGCTCACAGGCGGACGCGCCGAGTTTTTAAAATCTCTCTACACATCAGCCACGACCAAATCAAATGACACCAGATAAGCTTTTTAAAGCTTTCTATGGATCATCATATGATGTACGCTCAAAAGCACACACTCTCTGATCGTCATTGTAAAAGAGTAGAAGTTCTCTCTGGGTGTTACGGCTATGATTTTTTTTATAAGTTTTTTGTAAAAACGTATAAAAGGTAAAACATCTCTTTACCCATAAGAGATTTACCGTTTTCACTTGTTATTACAATGTTAAATCAATCACGGCCATATCCAGCGGAATATCTTATGTATTTTGATGCGCACAGAGTAAAAGCCTTATATGATCGTTGCTGCTTTGAGACGGTACACTTTTTAAAAAGTTACTCCAACGCTACTGCATTAAATCCGCGATGGGTAGAGAGAGATTTTACTCCCTACTTTGATTGAAAGTGTACAGAAAGCTAAAAAGGCTCTGCCCGCGGGCAAGGAGATACCTATTACTGCTTTTAGTCGCTCTATTAAGCTTCCTATACATTTTGTGTAGACGCTTGTAAAGTAAAAGCTCTCTTTGTCCAATAGCTGATTGAAATCATAGACGCCCGGAGAGCGGCTGGTTTTAAGCTTCCTATACATTGTGTGTATACGCTTGAAGAGTAAAAGCTCTCTTTGCTGGAGAGGTTTTACTATTCGCACGTCGAAGTCAGTGATGCTCAGAGAGAGCTTTTACTCTGTGCGCGTCCATATAAAATCAACAGACAGCTTTGAAGAGTTCCGCCCGCGGGCGCTGTTTTGAGTACCACTGGTCTAAGTATATCAAATATTACAAATACAAGCTTCAAAAAGCTTCTTCCCCGTTACTTGCCGTTCTTGCCTGTTCCTTTAACTTCTAAATTGGTGAAATAAAAATTACTTTTCAATACTCACTTGTCAATCGGTCGACGCTCTCAAAACGTCCTTCAACCTTCGAGCGCAATGAATCCAAATCGAATGGGGCAGCGAGGCCGTGATCAACGCTGCGTGATTTGCTCCTGTGAAAGAGAAAGCAAAAAATAAACAAGAAAAATTAGTCCCAGGCGTCACTTAATAATTAATTAAATAAAGCAGTGATAATAAATATTTCGTAGGTATGAATGTATGTATGTATGAATGTTTGAACTTACAATCGTACTAGGTAGGTGTGTAGCGAAAGATAATAAAATGAATGCATGATCACGTGAGTAGGTACATACATACATATGTACATATATTAAATGATTTGGAGTTTGGTTGGTCATGTGACACCAAAAGCGCAAAATGTTTACTATTTATGTATATCATAATTTTTCTGGACAGCTATATTAGAAATTTAAATTTAAACACAAAATAGGGTAACTACAATAAATAATAAAGCATTTTAAAGCTTAGCGGTTAAATTTATTAGCATTAAAGCTTTTATGTATGTATGTGTGTGGAAATAACCAAAAGTGTTAAGCATTGTTGATGTTGCAGACAGTCGTGTGTTTACGTTTTCCTTTGTTCGCTTTTGAATTGTTTTTTGTTTTTGTTTATACACATTTCCTTATCATTGCGGCAACATCTGTTAAAATACCCATTTGATCGATTTATTGCAGTGTCACAAGATTGTTGCTGTGCGTTTATGTTTGTGTTTTTTATAAAACATTTAACGTTCAACGGCTGTTAGAAAAATTAAAATTCGTTGCTGGTGAGGTGAGTGTCGTGAGAAGCAGTGTGACGAATTTGTTGCGATGCAGGGACACAGTCAGGCAGCAATCAGTAGTCAAGCGTCAGCCTTTAAGCGATATAAATCTCATAAAAGATGCACAATTTTAATCGTTTTTTAATTGATTTGTTTTCGCTTAGGCGCGCGTGCGCACACAAACGTGTCGTGCAGCTGTTCAACAAGAAAAAATTAAAATAAATAAAATACTAAAACTGTGAAGTAAATTTGTTGTGATTGTCGCATTTTTTCCGTTTAAATTTTTTATGCGTTTATAGTTACTCTCAGCATATCTTCACATCTGTATTTTCTATTTTGGAATGTCACTAAATTTTTATTGTGCCTTTAACTATTTATAGTTAGTAATTTATGCATTTGCCTGTCATGCGCTGCGCTTTTTTGAATTCAGTTATGGACAAACGAGTACATATTGTTTATAAGTTTCGTCTAATCTTTTCAACCTTTAATTTCAATCACTGCCATAGTTTGTTTTTCACGCATTTTTTAAATATTTTTTGTTTTTGTTTTTACTGTGATATGCTATTTGACCGCTAACTAATAAAGGGTATTAAAATATGAGTTGTGAAGTATTTTTATACGAATTGGCAGATGATATCGGAGGACCATTAGTTTTAGTTAAGGTTGGGGTTGGATTACGTTAAGTGAAAGGATCTCTGAGTTGTGATACCAGTAAAACTTTTGGAGCAAAGCAACCCTTTAATAAAAGTGACTAGACCCGGATGAGACCAGGATTGGTCGCAAAGCAACCTCCGATCGTAGGGAATGAAGAATAACTGTTCAATTTTGGTCGACCATGTCCTTATAGGGCCACCTGTATTCTTTTGTATGCTAACGGATATACAAAAAGAGACAAGTCCCTTTCTATATAAAAATATAAAAACAGAAATAAAAAGAAAATTCATTTTAGGGTGGTCCAATAAATATTTTTTTTTGCTTCGCTGTATTCTCGTACTAAAATTTTAGAAATAGGTTTTGGCTTTTCGATTTTTTCGAGTTGCGTCAAAGGGTATTTCTGGCTAAAATAGTTGAGCTTTTTGTTAGACAAATGACAGATAGTAGGCAAGATAGTTTGAAAGATTTTGTTTATTCTGGCACGAAAGTCTTAAAAAAACTCAACTTTCAGGGTGTAATGCTCTTTTGACAAAAATCACCTTATTTCCTGTTTTTTTTAATTTTGAATTGATGAATTTAATTTTCTTTTTTAATTTACTTTTAATTTTTATAATTTATTATTTTAAAAAGAAAAATATATATACATTTATCGCTTTTTTAAATCTATATTTTTTTGTTTTAATTTAATTTTATATATTTTTTCTTATATTATTAAAAATTACTTTTACTGTTTAGAAACTTATTTTTTCTCCTTTTTTAATTATTTTTTCTTGTTTAATTCATTTTTCTTTATCTTCATATTTTATTGTTCTAAAAAGAAAAATATTTATTCATTTAATTTTTAGGAGTCTAATGAATATTTTTTCTTTCTCAGTTTTACTTTTTTACTTTTTTAATTTTATTTTCTTCTAATTTTTAGATACTATTATTAAGGTGCTTATCCATTTTTTTAGCTTTCTATTAATTTTCAGATTTTATTGTTTTAAAAAGAAACATTCTTTGAATATCATATGATTTTTAGAAACCTAAGCATTATTTTTTAAACTTTTTCCTTTTTAATTTAAAGTAGTTTTAGTTTTTTTTTATTAAATTAAATTTTTTTGTTTATTGCTATAAGTTAAACAGAATAAAGCTAAGACCTCCTTGTTAGCAGATCTTTCTAGTAGTCTTTTGAAAGACAGAAAAGTTTTTCTTATTTTTTTCTTTCGAAAGACTGTGGTGAGTTAAAAGATAGTTGCCAGAATTGCCCTGTTAGGACACAATGACAATTTTACACTTACTAGATTGGTTGAGTGCAAATAAATCTCAAATAGCACCGTTGAATCTTTAGCTGACGGCAAGTAAATGCTAATTGGATAACATGGGGGGTCTACTCTCTTGAGAGACTAGTAAGAAACTTTTTTTTTTGCAGAGATAAGAGAACATTAAGCATGGAGTGTCTGTAAAATGACAAAGTATGATTTGAAATTGCTTCGAAGATATAATAAGACCTCGTCCAGATTTGAATCGTGGAATGCCCCCTTTAGCTCTTCTCCGCCCTCGGAACAAATGCATATACATATCTTCTAGTAATCGGTCGACCCATTTTGTAATGATTACCTAGCAGCTATTCAAAGAAACCACTAGCACTCTCTTTCCGTTCGGCGAAACTAGCTCGTGAGCTCTCTGCCAAGATAGTTCTTCAGTCAACGAGAGTTGTCAGCAGAAATCAAATAACTAGTCAACCCTGGTCGTTCAGTACGACATTTATGCAAATCTAAATTAGGAATACTTCAATGGATACACTGTAAAAAAACTTCGCGATTAGGGTGAAAATGACAGTTGGACAAATATGCTAGAGTTATTTTTTCCTGTCTATTTCTCTGTGTTATTTTTTTCTTATACAAACTTAGCGAACTTAAAGCAATGCGATATTTTAAACCCGTCATTTCGAGACACCCTTTACCTCATGCATCGCATGTTCGTTGATATTTACGTTTTCGTGCGAAACATTCCAACAAACAGTTAGTTCAAGCTAGAGATAAGCATGGGACTAAATATTAAGTACTGATCCCGCCCATCCCGAAATTCAATTTTTAAGTCCCGAACCCGCCCATCCCGCCGTTTTTCAGAATTGTACCGCGGACCCCTGGGTCCCGAAATCTATCACTAAGAAAAATTCACATGTCTTTCAAATTAATTTTAAATAACAAAAAAAAATAATGATAGATCTGGCATCTTCCGATTATTTTGTTTCACTTTGCTGTTGGTTTTCGTCCCAATAAAACATAAAAGTGTGCATATTTCACACATCGTTTATAAGGAAGATTTTCCGAATTTGCTGTGGTTGCGGTTTTATCGGGAGTGACGAGAAAGGATTTTGGTCCCTTCCCGCCCGCAAAATTTCACAGACCTTCCCGACCAATTTGAAATCAGTACCGTGGGTCCCGCGGGTCCCGATATCCCGCGCCCATCTCTAGTTCAAGCGGCTATTTGGCGCATTTATGCATTGCATTTGTGTAACGGCTAGTTACGCTTTTCAATGTGCGTGGATATATGATTTGCTGCTATTGTTGTTGTTGTTATTGTCGTTAGGCGCTCTATTTGCGGCCATTGTAGTAAGTTGCATTCGTATTGTTGTTTTTGATGTCTACTGCATACGCTGGTGTGCTTTGCTATGCTATGTTGTTTTTATTTTTCGCCAATTGGCCCTGTCCTTAAAATGTTTTCCTTGAATAGAAATATTTCGCTTTCATATACAAAAAACAAAAGCAACAATTCGAAATATACATTGGAATGCAACAGTCCAGAGTTGTTGCATTTTATCGCGGTAAATATTTAGACATTTCAGAGAGAAATCCATTTGGTATAGAAATGAGCAATGTGGCCTATTTGGTATAGGATATATCAACATTCTCAAGTTCACAGTTCTTTGTTCAAGAGAGTCACAGAAACTTATAACACTTGAGGCGTCACACCCTCAAGCTTTACTGAATTCTGAAAGATGGTGGCAATTTTAGAAATGAGAGAGCAGACGAGGCCGCGAGAGCAGAGCCTGAAGGAATACTTGAGCAACCGAATTAAATCATACAATTCCTCTGAGTTTGCTATTCTCAAAAGTTGAAGAGAAGGTTAGAGTAGCTATTACAAACAGTCGAACTAATCTAATCTGAACACAAATATAGTATCAAATTCACATGATACCACTCACGTTAATACCAACGAGTTACTAGCCTACTGACGAATGACATCCAGCTTCGGAAGCTCGCAAACTAGTTTCTGTAGAAGCTCTTGGCGTGCGGCAGAGATATATTTGTATGTATAAATCATTAAGAACTTTCTATGCAAAGGTCCACGCATCGATGGACGCGCTTATCTAATCTAGCCAGCACTCTTTCTCATAAACCAGAGCAATAGTAGATACTGGCTGTTCAGTGGCGGCTCCACATCCATGCTGTCATAATGTAGAGAAAACTACTTTAACCGGAAACCCCTGCGAGTATTTATAGGCACTAACTTTCTTAAAAAATTAGGAAGTTGTAAGATTTGATATTATTGTTCTACCTGCAGCGTCTTTGAAATAACAAGCAGATTTAATTGTAGTGACGGTCAGATAGAAATTTTTCACTGGGCACACGTCCATATGAAATTGAAAGAAAGCTGTGAACAATTTCACCTGCGCACGATTTGTTTCGGTTA